GCCATCCCCAGCCAGTGACAGGGTGGCCAGGCCCCCGTGCAAACCACGGCCAATGGGCACCGTGGGCCCCTGTGCCTGTGGACACAAGGTAAACAACCTGTCTGGCAGCCTGCCAGTGGCTTACCCCAACGAGCCACATGCAGCCCACGTGTGTCAGGTCGCTCACCACTGCTCTAAGCATTTGTATACAGACAGCTCATTCCTGCCAGCAGATATTGAATTAACAGCCTTACTGCTTCAAGAGGACCTCTATAGTTTGTAAATAGGAACGTCAGTTGTAGGGCTCTGATCACGAGCAGTCAGGTACATTGATAGTGACATCTCTCACTGTCTTCTGAGAGTCACTATTCTTCTCCTTCTCTGCCCTGTCTTTTTTGCATTTTCCAGCTAATGATGAAAATCAAGGACATGAAAAGGGAGCATGGAAACATACAAAAGCAGAATGAAAAAAGGGAAGAAGGCAGAGAGCGATACGGAAACTAGACAGAATTTGAGAAGCATGAAGTCAAATTTAAAGAAAAAAATCAAGGGTAACAACAACATAAGCAAGGAAATGAAAACTGAGAAGGTAAAAAAGCAGTGCACGGCCAAGACAGGTCACTATTGAAACACATGCCAGTCACAAATCTTTGGAGCCCATTATCACATTACCTTCTCTGTAGGCTTTGACTGATGCGATGTCTCGTAATCTCTCTTTGTTTCCAAGATTCTTTTTACAAGACCACCTGTTGAAAATCAATATTTCTCTTAGTGCTGGTGGCTGATGCTAAAACTCTGTTGTAAATAATCTGAGCACTTGATTCTGTTCAATGAAACTGATTTTAGACCATCTTCAAGTGTATTCTAGTAAACAAGTCTCTCCTCTTATATGATGGCGTATGGGCAAGTACACTGCACTGTATAACCAGAGAGGAGTTGGGAGAGAAGAAAGGAAATCAAGTCAAGTCATAGAATCTTAATAGTGGCCTACTGGGCTTTGTTCATCTTCCTGAGGCACCTACCAAGCTCGGTCAGTCTTTTGCTTCTGTGACTTGAGCAGCCGAAGAGGCAGGACCTACATTTCTAAACTGAACCCATTTGACTGGTGATCAAAGACAAAGGCTTTATGGGAGGAGCCACATACAGATCTGCTTGGTCAGAGGGTAACGGATAGGAGAAGGATAAAATCTGAGCAGTCCAAAGGACACCATCCCCAAACTAACTCCTTCTGTCAATAAACAACCTCAGGTTATAACCATTCTAGCACTTGAACTGCTGACCTAAACACAACCTGGACTAGACAAAGTAGGTAGTTAAAGGGAAACCTTTCTTCTGCAAAAATATCAAAGATAAAAGGTGGTTTTAGTTTTAATTTTTTCAAATTTCTTTAAATCAACACAAAAGTATGTGGAAGTGTATTTTATTAAATAAAGATGCACAAGCATAACTGTGTAAGAGTTAACTGATGAGCCTGGGCTCATGGGTTAACCTTCACGGTTACGTGCAGGCTCCCGAAACACGCAGGGAGCTGGCTCAAAAGCTGGCTGCCGGTGCGCACCAGCTCCTGAGGAGCTGCCTGCTGCCCCACGCTGCTGCTGTCAAGATTTTAGGACTAGCAGATTTCATTCAGCCTCTCATCTGTAGTTTTTATTCATAGATTAGGGAAGGAGAACAAACTTTGCTGATTTTCCAACTCAATCAGTTTCTCAGCTATGAATGATATATCTAATCTAATCACTGAAGTGAACCAGCTGAATAAACTGAAATGAAGAAAATAGTCTTTCTTCACCTAAGGCTACTGCTGTAAAAAGCTGGTTGAGCACTTCAACCAACTTTGGTTCATGGTGTTTAGCCACTGACTTCTGCCAGTTCAGTGGTTTGATCTTCTTTAAACTTGACAAACACATACTGAAACCACAGTAGAGTTTCACTTTGTTCTGATGGTTCTTCATGGAATTTACAAGCTGCACTTACCGTAATACTCAGTAAAATATATTCAGGGTTCTAAACTCTTGCAAACAGGATGCATTAATATACATGTATCCCCACCAGACTGTGGATCCTGCTACTCTCTCACAGTAAGAACAGATGGCTTTTGCTAAATAGCTCATTTCTGTGTGTTTGTTTTTGTAAAGTTGTTGCATAAGTCAGAAGTACGTACTCTCAGGATGCAAGATCAAGACAGGATCAAGAACTGTTACTCTCGTTATCTACTTAAGATTCTTTTAAATCCTACGTAGGGTCTGAATCGTAGACGAACGGAGAAGAGCAGGGAACTTACCATGCGTCTCATCACCATCCAGCTCCGTTACTGGCTCCTGCAAAAGAAAAAGTAAAAGCTTTTAGTTCCAAGGAAGCGTCCCTTGCTATGATCTAAAGCGTGTCTCGTATACAAACAGCGCAAACAAAACACTGCGCAGCACTGAGGGAACTCTGAGCACGTCTGAACAAACATGCTGGGCGTGTGTTATATTAACAGACCGCTTCCATTTCTGGCATTTCAGGGAGCTGGGGTGCTGCCTCCACCACAAACTGATCGTCCTCATCGTCAGAATTCTGCGTGTCTCTGATCACACTTGTGGCGGCTTTATCACTACCATTCCTGAAAGACAGACAATGGACATTTAAAGTACATGGACATTTTGGCCAAATGTCCAAACCCAAAAAAACCACACCTCTCTCAAATACAGTAGAACCTCAGAGTTGTGAACACCTTGGGAATGGAGGTTATTCATAATTCTGAAATGTTTGTAACTCTGAATAAAATGTTATGTTTGAGGACAATGTTCAGTTGTAAAGATCTGAAAGGAATAGAGAGCTTTGAAATGTACCATGTAGAAGAAAAATGCTGATTTAACCATCTTAATTTAAATGAAACAAACACAGCAAGAGTTTCCTTACCTAGTCAATGTTTTTAAAAGCTTTGCCTTAATTCTGTTAGTGGCTTACACTGAACGCAGTAATGTACCTTATTTGCTCCCCCACCCCCACTGCTGCCCGATTATATACTTCTGCTTCCAAATGAGGTGCACAGTCAATCTGTAACACCAGCGTTTGTAATTGTGAAGTTCTACTGCCATTGTCAAATGTAGCCCAACGTTAATTTGCAGTCTAAGTAATTTCCACAGGAAACAAATAGTTAATACCAGGCTCTTCAACCTTGCAGAGAAAGATCCAAAGGCTGGATGTTGAAACTAGATAAATACAGGCTGGAAGCAAGGTAAAAGTTCTTACCACTGAGAACAATTAACCATTGGAACAACTGACCAAGCGTCGTTGGGGATTCCCCACGACTGACAAATTATAAAGCAAGACTGGGTGTTTTTCTAAAAGATCTGCTCTAAGAGCTGTTTGGGGAACTTATTCCACCCAGTGCTGTGGTAGACAGGTTGGTCCCAGGACATCAGAAACACAAGGTGGGTGAGGTAATAGACTTTATTGCACCAACTTCGACTGGAGAGAAAGACAAGCTTTCCACCGTAGAGAGCACGCTTCCTCGGAGCCATGGAACGCAAGCATCTCTGGAGAGAGGGCACTGGCCAGGCATTCTGGTTCTGCTTCAAATGGCTGGAGACATTCTCGCCGGGGCACGCATGCCCAGCCCATCAAAACTAGAGAACTCTGTCAGGAACTTCTGCTCTTTTTGTCGTGGCCCCCGCTCTGTTCCTTCCTACTGCCTTCTGATCACACTAGAGGCATAGTGAGGGTGTTTCGCACCCGGAGGCAAAGGCAAAATTTGCCCTTCCCCCCGCCCCCCTCCGGTGCACAGCTGAGCCTGACCCTGAGGGGAGCTTAGGGGGGAGAGAGCTTGTACTAGGTCTTCCCCCGCCCCCTCCAGTTTCAGGTGGGGCCCCCTGCACACACTAACCTGCCAGTGGAGGTGGAGCAGGGGCAGGCGAGGAGGTGGCTCCAGCCGGCACGGAGGAGGAACAGGCGTGTCGAAGGATGATAGGGGAATGGAGGGGGACTAAATTGGCACTCCCCTAGAATGGCACCCAGGGGCAACTTCCCCCCATGCCACACCACTGTAAATAATTGACCTCTTAGGATATTTATCGTTTAATTAATTACTTATTTTACTAACTACAGACAAATATAAATTATAATTTTTGTGGTTTACATTCTGTTAAATAATTTCTCTGTAATTTGTTCGTATCCTGTTTTCATTAGGTTCATGTCTTTTACATAAAAAATGTCAAATACTTAAAATATGTAAGCTTTATAAAACACAAAAGAAATAAATTTTATACAACCTAAATATGAATGTCATCATTATATTTCAATCAAGCATTTAAAACCAGTGTTACAGCAAATGAGTAACTCATTGTTTTAATTAAATGGAAAAAGATGTTGAGAGTATCAAATTTATTTTAAGCAATCTGTAATGCTTCCTAACTGCCAAGTTACTTACCTAGTTAACTTAGTTGTTTTTCATATTCTCTCACAGTGATAAACTACATCTAGTTATGAATGTAAGAGATTAACTTGCCTGTTTAAATAACACTCAGAAAAACTTTTAAATAAAACTAACACACAACACGAGCGCATTGCCCTCTTTTTCTTGAAGGCACTTGAAGCAATGCGTAGCCTAAGGTTGAGGTTACACTGCAAACGTGGCTGTCTGTCTGCCATGAGGACTTTTTCCTTCAGGTTACCGTGAGATGCTATCCTTAAGTAAAGGAGAGAGGTCTCTCTGAGCTGCTCTTCCAAATTTCACACAAGCCATTCTACTGAAGCCACAGATACCAAGATTCAAGGCCAGCCTTGCCATGAGCAGAGTGCCTCGCCAGGTTTCACAATCACAACATCCAAACACTTATAAGACTTTTAGTTGAGAGCACCATGTTAATCCCAAGTCTCTGCTATGACTGGGAGATGGGGTGACCTATAGAAAACACCGGCATTTTCTTTGGAAAATCCGCAACAAAACATGGAAGGATCTATCACCTCAGTAATGGCAACTCCTTTAGAACTGAGGCTCTGATTATCCAGCACTAGCTGAGGAGGAGTGGACACTTCTGATATATTTTTACCAAAACTCCTGCCTGCCCAACTCGCCAACGGAGAAAGGAAACAGGAACACCAAAAGGAATGGTACCGAGCATTGTTTCTCAACCTTTTTTTATAAGCTTCAGAGGGTTAGCTGAGTTAGTTTATACCAGGAAAAACTTCACACACAACAAAATAGTCTAGAAGCACTTTAAAAACTAACAAAACATGTAGATGGTATCATGAGCTTTCATTGGCAGAAGGGGGCTGTCCCCATGAAAGCTCGTGATCCCATCCAAATGTTTTGTTAGCACTTTAAAAACTACCAGACTATTTGTTGTTGTTTAAGTATTTCTTTTTTTAATAAAGTACCTTAAAAAAATGTTTAAGTACCCCCAATGCACCCCTTCCCCTAAAGCCAGACACCCTCAGCCCACTGCTCTATTCCAAATGCACCACCCCTCCCCCAGAGCCAGGCACCCCCAACCCACTGCTCTATCCCAAATGCACGCACCCACCCCTCCCCCAGAGTCAGGCACCCCCAGCCTCCCCATACCAATGCACCCACCCCTCCTCCAGAGCCAGGCAGCCCCGCCTCCCACCCTCTCAGCCCACTGCTCTATTCCAAATGCACCACCCCTCCCCCAGAGCCAGGCACCCCCAACCCACTGCTCTATCCCAAATCCCCGCCCCCACCCCTCCCCCAGAGTCAGGCACCCCCAGCCTCCCCATACCAATGCACCCACCCCTCCTCCAGAGCTAGGCAGCCCCGGCTCCCACCTTAACCAAATCCCCTTCCCGCAGAGCCAGGCACTAGAGGTACAGGACAGGAAACCCTACCTTTAAAGTATCAGAGGAGTAGCCATGTTAGTCGGGATCTGCAAAAGCGACAAGGAGTCCCGTGGCACCTTACAGACTAACAGATTTACTGGAGCATAAGCTTTCATGGGCAAAGACCCACTTTGTCAGATGCATGTAGTTGAAATTTCCAGAGGCAGGTATAAACATGCAGGCCAGAATAAGGCTAGAGATAATGAGGTCAATTCAGTCAGGGAGGGTGAGGCCCACTTCTAGCAGCTGATCTGGAGGTGTGAACACCAAGAAGGAGAAACTGCTTTTGTAGGTCATTGAATCCAGTCCCCTGCCCTCATGGCAGGACCAAGCACTGTCTAGACCATCCCTGATAGACATTTATCTAACCTACTCTGAAATATCTCCAGAGATGGAGATTCCACAACCTCCCTGGGCAATTTATTCCAGTGTTTGACTACCCTGACAGGTTGGAACTTTTTCTTAATGTCCAACTTAAACCTCCCTTGCTGCAGTTTACGCCCATTGCTTCTTGCTCTATCCTCAGAGGCCAAGATGAACAAGCTTTCTCCCTCCTCCTTATGACACCCTTTTAGATACCTGAAAATTGCTATCATGTCCCCCCTCAATCTTTTCTTTTCTAAACTAAACAAACCCAATTCTTTCAGCCTTTCTTCAGAGGTCATGTTCTCTAGACCTTTCAATCATTCTTGTTGCTCTTCTCTGGACCCTCTCCAGATGAGCTACAGTTCATCTGCAAATTTGACACCATCAGTTTAGGATTAAACAAAGACTGTGAATGGCTAGAGAAGAAGGAACAATTCCTGGAAGTCGTAAGGGAAACTCTGTTTAGTAACAGAAAACCAGCTACAAGGTCCACGAATGTGTCTAAACAGAAACAATTTTTGATTTGGGCAACATCTAAGCAAATTAAATCCATATCGGCTTGAATTCTGTTTTGAATCACTTGCTGCATTTGACCTCTCCGGGCCTAGATTTTAGTGCCACGAAGGCTCATTTGGCTGGGAGCTCAGTTTTCCTTCCTCCTCTCTACTAAATCTGTAGATTTTCCAAGCAGTATATATATTTTAGTGTCACTTATGGGAGACATGGCACATTGCAGAATGATGCAATGGGATAACTGTGAATGTTTATTCTCTCTCAGACACCCTTTCTTACCTCTCTGGAAGTAAAACCTCTGCACTTTCTTGCCTTTTTATTCGGGGGGGAGCTGGCCTGGCACTGTTGGGACGTGGTGGTCTTCTACAACAAAGACAAGATTTTTCATTTTAGCTGTAAAGCAAACTTCTACTACATGTCCATGGAAATTACTGATTTACAGGAAAACACAAACTGAACTTTACAAATCTTAAAGCACTGTGGCTATCAAACTTACCTCCTGATATTACAGCAGTAGTAAGTGTTGTGATCAGACTATGAAGCAACAGAGCCTGTGTTCCATAAATCTCTACACAGTGATCCTTTGCACAACCAAAATGTTTTGCACCAGATGAGTGCCTGGTGCACTCTTCAATAACACAGCTATGTTCGGTTTCACTGTGTTTATCTTGAAATTGAACTGAAAGAGCTGGACTGAGTTCAGCATTACCAATACAAATCTCAGTGTAAAAGGGAAAGTTTGGGTTTGGCTCCAACTGCAAGAACAGAGTTACCAAACTATTCCAGGACTGTTTTTCTTCAAGATATGCAGCACACACCCATTGCTTTCTTGGTGTGTGCATGTCCTGAGCACAGCTATTGGAAATTTAGCCTTAAGTGGCAGCTCAAAGGCCCTCTGCTTCTACATGAAAAACAGAGCTGCCCTGATCCTTCTCAGTTCCTTCTTGACAGAAAAAACTCCAATGCAGAGAAATAGGAGGCTGGGTCACAGAAAGAACATATGCAACATATCTTGAAGAAGAACAGTTATGGGATAAGTAAACCAGTTTTTCCTTCGAGTGGAAAAACCAAGCCATTGAAAAGGAGAGTTCTCCACCTCAGAAGTATCAAACTTGGGAAATGCATCATTGCAACATACATCTCATTATTTTATTCTCAACCTGTGCACTGTCATTTAAAATAGCACCATTTATATCAAAGCACACTAGGTACCAAAACAAACATTAAATTCAACACAAATTGTAAACTGGAAATAACTGTTCATTAAGTCAGTGAAGTCAACCATACCTACTACAAGGTAGCATCATTTGACACATCTTATCAATGCAGATTATCATTAGCAGCAATGTATTATTATAAGGGCCCTTATTTAGTCTCAAGTTAATTTGCCTTTCTTCAGACCTGTTCTAGTTAGGTTAGGAAGGAACAGAAAGATAGGAACTGACCTTTGGATGATGGGAGGTGGGAGATCATTAGATACTTCTCCATTCTCAGACACCACTGGCTTCTCAGAGGTTTGGTTTCCAGCTTCTCCTTCTATTACAAGGAAAAAAACATCACATCTTAGTCATTATTACAAGTTTGTAGTGGAAATCTAAGCTGTTGTACCCCAGTATTTTAGTTTATCAGAAAAACTCAGTGTGCCAGTTAACTAAATCCACTATGACAAACACCAAGTTTATTTTTTAAATTTCTTTGTAAACCAAAGCCTTTTAAGTCAACTCAAAAGAACTTTTAAGTCATTGAAGCTTTCTCCTAAAACATTTAAAACTATTTACATATTGAACTTATAGTCCAATTGGACATTAGGAAATAAATGTCTACTCCATTTACATTCATTCACAATAGTGCAACCTTTGCCATCTGGAAAAAGATAGTAACTTACCTGTCTCATAATTGGTATTCTTTTGGGTGCAGACGTGTATTCCACTCAGGTGTATGCACACCCAGACACCAAAGCCCGAGAACTTTGCCTCGTAATATGTAAAAGGGAGGAGGTGGGGCCCTTTCTTTCAAACTCTACCATGGCTACATATGGCCAGCACCACCCCAACCTCTCTTAGTTCCTCCGCAGCAAGCCAGGCTGGACACTCCAAGACAGATGGGATGTAATGCTTCAAGTGTGTCCCCTTTTGAGCAGATTGTTGGGCATGTGCACAGGCCCCACAGATGCCTATGCCTTGCTGAAGCCATAGAAGACAGCATAGGTGAACTGTTCTCAATTCCTTGTCTACTGCAAAATCCCTCCAAGAAAATTCTGAAGCAAAGGGAAAAGAGGGTGAACATCGCATCTCCCATAAGGAGCCACCTGTCGAAGAATTAGTTACTGCACAGAGTAACCTTTCACTCTTCTTCAAAGAGCGTCCCTACACTTGCGCCACTTCAGGTAACTTGTGAGC